TTTTGTATTTTAGTAAAGATGGGGTTTTGCCATGTTAGCCAGGATGGTCTTGATCTCCTGACCTGGTGATCTGCCTGCCTTGGTTTCCCAAAGTGCTGGGATTACAGGCATGAGCTACTGGGCCCAACCTAAAAAATTTTTTTAATTTACATTTTTAAAAAAAATAATGTATTCCCCATCACACCACCAAATTCCAAATCTGCACTTCCATGATGGGTGCCTCATCCTTGCTCCAGGCCCATGGCTCTCAAAGCCTGCAGATGGTTACACAGTTAAGCAGCAGCAAGGAGCAACCATTTCTTCAGCACTAGAAAGCTTACGGCCTGGGCCCTGCTTGTCAAAGCTTTTAGTGTAGCAAACCTAGGCCATTACCAGACAATGAGCTAAAAAAACTTATGATGCAGCCACTCACTGAAATACTCTACTGTATTCAAATATCTAGGGCAGATCACAGGCCGATGTTCACACTATATTATTGCTGGCAGATAAAAGGCAAGCTACAGAGCAATGTATCATCCTATTTAGTAAAACAAACTACAGACATGTGAATATATTTTTACTATTCATAGAAAAAAGTCTGAGAAGGAAATTTCCTTTTTATACTTCTGTAGTACTTAAATCTTTTACCATGGGCATGTACTGTTTTTATAATTTTCTTTAAAGGGACTTTTTAAGTGGCATTAAGATTTGTTTAGTTATAAAAACAAAATGTAAATACATGGAATATTATATAATAGAAAATAGATAAACAGCTCCAACATAACAACAGAAGAAACATTACAAGGCACTAAATAGTTTGTTGTATTTTAAAACACAAGTTTTCAAGATCTGTTTCTCTGTGACCTCTGTTTTGTATAATATACCTACCTCTTTCACTAGTCCAAGTAATTCAGATTCATGAGCCAGAATGTCCCCCATATTGAACTGTTACTGGTAATTAATTCAGCAAAAATCTGTAGAAGGCAAAAATACAAGACAAGAACTTTCATTTCAACCACCTGTGAAATCACAAAAAGGTGGTTGCGGTGAGCAGAATAATGGCCCCCAAAGACATCCACGCACTAATCCCCAGAACCTGTGAATACGTGAGGCTACATGGCAAGGCAGAATTAAGGCACAGATGGAATTAAGGTTGCTTATCAGCTGACCTTTAAATGGGGAGATGATCCATGGATTATCCAGGAAGTCACCGCGGGGGGTGGGGGGAGGCAGAGGGTGACAGATGGGAACAAGAGGGTCAGTGTCAACATAATGAGGTATGAGAAAGACTCAACTGCCATTGCAGGCTTTAAAGGGGGGAAAGTGGCTGGGTGCAGTGGCTCACACCTGTAATCCCAGCACTTTGGGAGGCCGAGGTAGGTGGATCACAAGGTCAGGAGTTCAAGATCAGCCTGGCCAAGACGGTGAAACCCCGTTTCCACTAAAAACACACACAAAAAAGTTAGCAGGGTGTGGTGGTGGGCACCTGTAATCCCAGCTACTCAGGAGGCTTAGGCAGAGAACTGCTTGAACCTGGGAGGCAGAGGCTGCAGTGAGCCAAGTTCACACCACTGCACTCCAGCCTGGGCGACAAAGTGAGACTCTATCTCATAAATAAATAAATAAATAAATAAAGGTGGCGAAGTGCCATAAGCCAAGGAGGGTAGGTAGCCTCTAGAAGCTGCATAAAGCAAGGAACAGATCCTCCCAGAGCATCCAGAAACGATGAAGCCCTGCCGACGCCTTGATTTTAGCTCAGTGGACCCATTTCGGACTTCTGATCTCCAGAACCATAAGACAGTAAATCTGTGTTGCTTTCCACCACTAAGTTTATGGTCATTTGTTCAGCAGCGCTAGGAAATACAATAGCTAAAGTCAAAAGAAACTCTTCCTACTCTTTCTGCCAGCCCTCCCCCAAGGTCTACCCAAAGCAGCCATTCCCCGTGGCCCACACCCCCAAGCTCTTAGCCCAAACCAGTTGCCAGTAACCCCAGAGGAGTTAAAAAGTCTGGGCTTTAATACTAACCATGCCATTCTCTGGCACCTGATCTGGGGCAAATCACTGAAATGCAGAGCCTTTTTTCATCTATAAAATTCAGAATGTATCAGAACTCTTCTAATTTTTTTTGAGACAGGATCTCACTCTGTTGCCCAGGCTAGAGTGCAATGGTGGGATCATAGCTCACTGCAGGCTGGAACTCCTGGGTTCACGCAATCCTCCCTCCTCAGCCTCCCCAGCAGCTAGGACTACAGGTGCACACCATCATGCCCAGGTAATTTTTTTTTTTTTTTAGTAGAGACAAGATCTTACTAAATTGCCCAAACTCCCAAGTAATGCAATCCTCCCACCCTGGCCTCCCAAAGTGCTGGGATTATAGGCATGAGCCACCACACTCAGTCGGATCTCTTCTGAGTCTATAACCTGACATTTTTCTGCCATTGCCTCCCCATCCCCTCTCTCTCCACTTCAACCCAATTTCTACACTTTTAACGAGTGAGCACTGCCCGCCTGCTTGGGACCCTCCTGTGGTTCCTCCACCACCACCCTCCAGATGAAGGCCAGATTCCTTCGGCCCAACTCCCAAAGCCCCAGACAACTTGGCTCTGACACACTCCCATTTGTTCTGTAAACGTGAGCCACACTGGCCACTATGTGGCTCCTGAGGACACCCACTGAACACCCAAAGCATATGTCTGCCCTTGTGAGCTCTGGCTCACTGCCCTGCCTTCAGATACTCACATCTCTTTCAGGTCTCTGCTTAACCATCACCTCCTCAGAGCTTCTTGCCCTGACCACCCTTTTAAGAGGCCATCACTTCTCAGTGCTTTGTGCTGTTTGATTTTTCTCAACAGCACCAACCACTACCTGACAGGTGTTCCCCTGGCATCCCCAGTGCCTAGACCAGTGCCTGGCACACAGCATGTGCTCAAAAACACTGATGGAGTTAACTAAGTCCAGACAGAAAGAAAACAGCACATGGAAAGGGACATAACCCGGAGGAGACGGGCATGGGGTTATTTTAGATAGAGTGGTTGATGGCCTCAGTGGGAATGTGACATTTCAGCAAAGATTGAGCACTTGGATCTGGGGAACAGGGCTTTGCTGATGCACAGGCCTCAGGCTGAAGAGCTCTGCAGCAGTAGGGTATTGGGATGTAGCTAGAGGTGAGTGAGGCAGAGAGTGGCAGGCAACAGGGGGCCGAGGCCAGGTCAGGTGGGCCTTGCACAGCTGGTAAGTGGCTTGAACATTAGGCTGAGTAACAGGAGGCTCAGAGAGCATATGGAGGAGGGGACTGATACCACCTGATAACCCTTTTTTTTTTTTTT